GAAAAATAATGGATCATCATAAAGCACTCCAAAGAATCAGGAAAATTCCTTTGTAATTTTGCAATTGAAAAAGATAGGGATAACCTCCACCTTTTAGATTTGGCATGCTACAGTAAGAAACCTAGTTTATATACACAGGAAGAGGACTCGACCTACAATATGGCAAATCTGTTGAATTTAACAAGATATTTTATATTAGATTTTTCTTGCAAGATATCTGGCTGATTGAGTAGCAAGAATTTTTAAATTTAGAATTTCATTTCTCTTTAAGTAAAATATTCTCAAAGGCAGAAAAATTAGAAAAAAAATTGTTCTAGGGCAGAATTGAATGTATTACAAAAATTTTAGATGCTTAGATATCATTTTCAACTGTCTACCTTTATGAACAGATTTTTCGTTTATCTTTGCCACATAGTGAATTAGTATTGAGTGTGATAGTATATAAAGAAACTTCAGTGATCTGCCTCTTTTTAATTACAGTTTCTCAGCCCACTATTACTTGTGGGTTCAAAACAGCTCACGCAAGTAGTAGAATCCATTTAAAAGTCATTTATCCAGCAGGAGTCTCCAGAGACTTGAGTTAGATTTCTACTCTCCTTGCACGTCCACAAGTGTTTAGCTTCATGACACATTAGCTAAATCATAGGTTGTTGTGGTTCTTTGGTAAATTTGAATTCTTTGAAAAGAATGCCCAATTTAGAGCATGGATTTTGTGTCTCAGTTTATCCTTTATTTTAATTAGATGTTCTGTCCGTTTTGTGTTTGACAAGACATACTTTACCATGTCCCGATAAGGAAGAAATGTGTCCTGGTTTTTATTAGCTACCATAATTTTTCAATAGTTAAATTGACTGTTACAGCCACACTGGAGAATTTCCAGAGTCTGTCAAGATACTGACTAAGGATAGAAGTATTGAATGTTAAATAGTGTACAATCTGTGCGTAAATACATTTGTACTGAATTTGGAAGTGTTTTGCTAAAAAGAGAATTCATTATTGGGGTGCAGTCTTTCTCTTTATACATGTGTAGACACTTGGATGGGACATATTAAGAGGTAGAAAATAAGAAATAGGAGGCAGTTTTCCTTCTGCTCTGCTGTGCTCTTGGACAGTCTTTTGAACCTGCCTTTCTTTATTTGAAAGATGAGGGGTTGGATGGCATGTGATCCCCCTTTTTCTTATCTCAAACTAAAGTCTTTGCTAAGCTTTCAAGCCCTAACAGGTCCAAGTTCTTCTTTGAGGAAAAATATTTCATCATCGTCATCATGTTATTATGCATATAGTTATTCTTTTGTTCAATATAATTTGCTGTTTTCATTTTCTATCTTAGAAATGCATTTGGGGGGGTGCTGGCCAGTATGGGGATCCGAACCCATGACCTTGGGATTATAAGGCTGTGCTCTAACCAGCTGACCTAACCAGCCAGCTGCATTTCTGTTTTTTTAAATGACATCTTATTTACAATTTAAAAAGTAGAGATGTGGAGTAGCATTTTCTTGGATAGTTGTTATGGGGCAACAAGCCAATTACAAGACCTTAAATGTAATGCTGGAGCTGGGAGAATCAGGGAGGCAGTCTTATGCCGACTTGACTTACCAAGACTCTGAAGAAGCTTCTGTCCCCTCCACCACCACCACATATACACAGCAATACAGCACTTACTTAACTGTAAAGCATAGTTATGATGCTAGAATAATAAATGCTGTGTAAGTCATTGGAATAGAAACTCTAAAGTTACTCAAAGATGCTTTTCCATATCTGGCTTTAGTCCTCCTATCATTTATCTTACTCATTAAGTTGCCATGAAAGCAGTTATATTTATTTTATTAATGAAAAGGTAAGAATATTCCAATGTTCAAATTAGTGAAATTGCAAGACCATATTTTGAATAAGAGAAGTAGAGGGCATAGTCTAATTGTAATCATGTCCTAATATTTTGCCATGGTGAAATGTAATGCAGTACTGTGTGTCTGATTTATAAAAGACATTTTTTACTTTGCAAAAGTCTCCTTGTTTCATACAACACTGCTTACCCTCTGCTCATATCCCCACCGGTGTGTCTTCGCCTTTCCAGAGCCAGCAGGACACTGATGGGTGTCAGGCCTCTCCTGTCAGGGTGGCTGCCCGTGAGGGGTTGCTTGTGGCTTTGATCATTTGCTGAATTCAAAATGTGGAACAGAATGAGAAGAATAATTTGATCTTATTGTCTCTCTTTACAGGCTCTGTACAACTCAATCAAGAATGAGAAGCTTGAATGGGCGGTGTAAGTACACTGGGTGTCAGCCTTTTAATAATGAACCACTTGCTTTTCCTTATGTCTTTGTGCTTTGGAGTTGATCTTAGAGAAGGATGAAATATGCAGTGCGCCTTCTCATTTTACTCCAAGTGTCTTAACTACTTTGTATAAAACCTAAGTAAACCCTGGGTATTCTGTATTTTTCTCCTTGGTATCCAGGGTGCTTCTATTCTGCTTTTAATATGTTTAGTGCTATGCCTATAGACAATTAATTATCTTTTTAATATATCCTTTTAAAAAATAGCATTCTAAAAGATAATCTGATAAAATTACATATATTCCAAAATTCAATACAAATTATTTTGGTACCATCCGCTTATTTTAATTCTCTCCTTCCTGTCACCATACATCAGAGTTTTTCAATCCTATTTCCTATGATGCCAGTCATACTAGAACATTGATAAGTGCACAAAGAAAAAAGGTTCTGTGGATAGATAAGCTTGAGAAATGATGAATTAAATAAGCTAACATTTTTTTTAAACTGCAGAACTTCTAGGAGCTTATACAATGCCAATGTATATTGTCAATCTCCAAGAAAAGAATAGAGTTTGCAATGTTGCCCGAATCTATTTGTAGTTTTTCAAGGTACCTACTTTGGGAAATACTATTAGAGGTAAATTAAACCTAACTATGTAGACCAACAGTACCACTCTTGTTAAATTTTCACTGATCAATATAGCAGTTAAAGATTTGATAAAAAATTGTTAGGGAAGAGTCTTCACTAAATTTTTAATCAAGTTTTTAAGAAATTAGATCAAAATGTGATTTTTAAATTAGAACTACAGGGCCGGCCCGGTGGCGCTACAGTGCGCCGCTTGAGAGCGCGGCGGCGCTCCCGTCGAGGGTTCGGATCCCACATACAGACCGGTTCCCACTCAATGGCTGAGCGAGGTGCGGGCGCAGCACCGAGGGTTGCGATCCCGTTGCCGGTCCCGGTCCGGTACGGGCGCGACACTGAGGGGTGCGATCCGTTGCCAGACACGAAAAAAAGACAAAAAAATAAATAAATAAAAATAAATAAATAAATTAGAACTACATGTGAATTTTATTTTTGATTTTCACTGATATTAAGCATTTAATATTTTTCATCACATGACCTTACACAGCAATCTACAATGAACCCAAGTTTATAGAATCATAACTTGGAAGATAAATCTTATTCTTTCATATGCATGTTGGAGAAAAGTAGTTTAACAGTTGACTATGTCTCACATATAATGTACCAGAATGAATGAAAAAATATCAGTAACACTGGAATTGTTTCCACTAACTGTAGGGTCATATAACACTGTTTTTAAGTTAGGAAGTCAAAATTTAAGTTGAGACTTCAACATTTGCCTGTGTATATAATGGCTTATATGTCTGTATGTGACTCATTTAAAGACAGTGTGTACCATTTCAAGGCAAACTCCTTAAGATTATTAAGAATTCAAGATCTAAAATCCAAGGTGATAATTTTTCATTGGACTTATCTCTCATGAATGAAAGTGGGTTTTCTAGAAAAATTTTGTGAATGATATGCTTAGAATCTTGCCAAAATATTAAAGGTATATCCTGACCTATGCAGAATATATACTCTAGAGAAAATTAATAAAAATGAAATATTTATATTCACACTGGGGGAGAGAGTATTTTGAGGATTCTTTTATAAAGTTATTTTATAAAGCAAAGAAATATACTCCTGATGACCTGTTTTGTAAATATAGAGATTTTTGAAAATATTGAATTTGTTACAGTAGTTTTTATTTATATATTTATGTATAGTCAGAATTTGGTATAAGAAGGCTTTCTCTTGAGTCCTATCCAAGGGTGAGGGTGGGAGTTCACCCAAGAACTGGATTCTTCTATGACCCTCTTGTGAAGTCAGCAGAGCACAGATTCCAGGGTCAGATATATTGGGGTTTGCATTCCAGCTGTGCCAGTTACTAGCCGGGTCACTGGCCATGTTAACCTCTAGGCCTCAATTTGTTCTTCTGTGAGAGGGAGCAATTATTGAGCGTCATGTAACCCTCATGATGACCCTGTGAAATGTTCTAAAACACTAAACATAGAGCAAGTTATCCTTTAGTTGATGCCTCATGAAGATTTTAAAGCTCCAATTTCTGTTTTTTATTTTTTTCATTTTATTTTTCTTTCATTCATATACTCATACATTTACTGTATCTAGAGTAAGAATAAGGCACGATAGTAGTTTATCATATAATTAACTTTCTTTACCTGTAAAATGAAGGGATTGGATGAAAGGATCATAACTATCCTTTCCAGTTCCAATATATTGTAAATTTCTGAATTTTGCTATACAGTCACGCCCCACATAATGGTGTTTCTGTCAGTGATGAACTGCATATACAACAGTGGTTGGAGCGGTAGGCTATACATATAGTCTAGGTGTGTAGGAGGCTATATCATCTGGGTTTGTGTAAATACACTCAGTGATGTTTGCACAATGACAAAATCACCTAACAATGCATTTGTCAGAACATATCCCAATTATTAAGTGATGCATAACTGTATATCAATGTTTCTTAAACTGACTTCCTGTGGAGAGAGCACAGCTGTATTTAAGGAAACAAAACAGAAAGAGTTCATGGGTCAAATGAGTCTTGGTAAGTTGAACAGATTTCTCTATTACTGGTTTGTTCAGTCTTTAACAATCTGATACACATTTTTTAATATCTACAGGAGATAAAGCCCAGTATACCCCAACTTTTTAAATCACTGAATTCTATTCTGATCAGAAAGAACCTTTTAACATCTAATAAAACTAGCGTTCTCTAGCACACACTTTAGAAACCACTGATTTATACAAATTTATGTTCAGGATCCTTCAGATCAGGAACTAAGCTTTTTCCTTGATAAATGTGTATGTGCATGAATACAATTACTTATAACTCTGCACTCTCCCAGTTCTTGTACCTCTGTAACCACACTTTCTCTGACTCACTGTGCTTGTTATTAATGTTGGTACCTAAGATCAACATTTAGAATTCTCTTCTTTCGATATAGGCCCTTTCTCAGCAATCTCATTCATTCCTAAAACTGTGCCATCTCTGTAAAACTTCTTCCTAGATATAAGCACTGCTCTGACCTCTTAAGTTTTAATTCAACATTTGCCTATTCCTGCAGGACATTTCTACCAGCACTTAGCACTCATTGCCTCTCTCCAAANCACATTTTTTAATATCTACAGGAGATAAAGCCCAGTATACCCCAACTTTTTAAATCACTGAATTCTATTCTGATCAGAAAGAACCTTTTAACATCTAATAAAACTAGCGTTCTCTAGCACACACTTTAGAAACCACTGATTTATACAAATTTATGTTCAGGATCCTTCAGATCAGGAACTAAGCTTTTTCCTTGATAAATGTGTATGTGCATGAATACAATTACTTATAACTCTGCACTCTCCCAGTTCTTGTACCTCTGTAACCACACTTTCTCTGACTCACTGTGCTTGTTATTAATGTTGGTACCTAAGATCAACATTTAGAATTCTCTTCTTTCGATATAGGCCCTTTCTCAGCAATCTCATTCATTCCTAAAACTGTGCCATCTCTGTAAAACTTCTTCCTAGATATAAGCACTGCTCTGACCTCTTAAGTTTTAATTCAACATTTGCCTATTCCTGCAGGACATTTCTACCAGCACTTAGCACTCATTGCCTCTCTCCAAACTTTGGTTTATGTTCTCCATTTCTATTCATGTCACCAGCATTTTCCTACTTACCTGGATTTTAGCCTCTGCATCATCTTTGTCTCCTCCTATGTCATCACTTTATTACTGCAGAAGTGGCTTCAAACAGTGTTCTCCTTCTCCACTCCTGCTGCTGCCATTTATATATATAAAAATACCATATATATATATATACACACACACACTGTGTGTGTGTGTGTGTGTGTGTGTATTTTTTTAGGCATTCATACTTTTGCCTTCTAACAAGTACCTCCATTTCCAGTCTGTATCCTCTACTTTAACCCATATGAAGCACTCCTGTGCTATAAAACTTCAATGAGACACATTCTGTCCATTCTGCCAGTAATCTTTTATTCCGCATTATTGACTTCACACAGCCCTGTTTCAACAGGCTGCTTCGAGGCACAGTTCCTCATGCTTGTCCCATGGCTTCCTGCCTTTGTGCTCGTGTTCATGAAGTGACCTCTGCTTGGAACCTGTGTCCCCACCATCCGTTTGTTCAAAGCTTATCATCTTTTACCAGCTCATACAACACCCATTCCTTGCCATTTTTCCTGATCTTGTAATCCAGAAATAATCTCAGCCCATAAACATTCATTTTCCTTCATCTGATGACAGCATCACTTTCTACTCCCCATTATAGTTATTTGTAGTAATGTACCATTAGACTGTAAGCTCTTTAAGG